ATCTTCATTAGTTTAGTTAAAGCAGACTTACAATCCACACCATTTGGTTAGAAAAAGATTAACAGTAAGCATGCGATCCATCACTACCCACTAAGCTTGACCTTCCCAAAACAGTCATCAAAATAAAAGCTAATACCCAAGAATAGAAGATTGCATTAGTCAGGCACTTCTTCCAGGTCTGGGGGTCTTCTCCACACCCAAGTGTGGGGTTGCACTTTGTGAAGGCTGTTCTCCAGAGTTGTCACCAACGAGACACTGAAATCCTTCATTCTTATCCTTTTTCTTTATCTTCCCAAACGGTGGTGTCTTGTTCTTGTTGGCTCCTTAGCTCATTCAAGCACTGGTGGCCTTCCAATACAGGTTCACTCCAAGGACACCTTTAGGATTGATTCATTACTCTTCCATCAAATAAGGATTTCGCCCTTATATCATCGCTATGAGATCAACCAGCTCCAACCAGGCCCAAGCCAGCAGCTTGGGCTCAGCTAACTTCAGTTCACAGCTACTGTCTGTGAGCAGCTCCTGGCCAACAACCCCAAAACAAAGCCAATTCTCGGCCAAACAGTTAAAATTTTCTTCAATATCCGGACCAGCAAGCTACTGTAGTTGCTGCCGGTATGTAGGCTTGAGAAAGCAAAGAGTCCCACTAGTCCTAAACTGAGCAAAAGAACTCATAGGCTGGTATCCAGGAGAGTGCACGGCCTGGAAAAGCAACCTACATCTGGCTTGGAACAGTTAAATTGCTTAACCACATCCAAATCAGAACCAACCGTCTAGTGAAATGGTCACCCTGTTCTAATGGTGGTCGATACCTGTGCAGCTGTTTCAGTGATTGCAGAACCAGTCTTTAACAAAATTCACTCTGGACTCCAACCATTAAGTTTGCACAAGACCTTGGCTAGACTGAGAACCTATAAATGGAGAACCTTTACAGATTAAGGGTACAACTTTGTTTCCGGTCTCTAATGGCAAGCAGTTGGTTCAGTAAGAGCTCGGGCCTAAGCTTGATGAGGCAAAATGGGTTGAGAAAGATTCACCTAGATTGGCTCAACATTTTTCAATTAGAAAATGGCTGCCTGATTAAAGTCCTAATTAAATAAAAGGATGTTTTTCAGGAAGATCCAGGGGCTTTCAAAGGAGCCCAGACCACCTTGCAAATTGATCAGGAAGCAATTCCTTGATTCTGCAAGGCCTGCCCAGTGCCATTTGCCTTCAGGGCAAAAGTAGAGGCAGAAATCAGGAGGCTGGAAAGTGAGGGAATCATCAAACCAGTCCAGTTTGCAGAATGGGCAGCACCGGTCATACCGATTGTGAAGCCTGACAGATTTGTTTGCCCTTGTGGGAATTTTAAATAAATAGTAAACTACTTTTCATAGCTGGATGAATATCCAATACCTCTCTTAAAGGATTTATACGCAAAGCTGGCTGTGAGTTGTGGTTGTGGTGGTGGTGGTGGGGGTTGTCCTTCACAAAGCTGAACATGAGCCATGTGTACTTGCAAATGTGGTCAGATGAAGATTTGAGAAGTGTGATACAATTAATACCCATAAGGGTTTGCAATATACAAGAATGCCATCTCATATCAGCAAATTTTCAGCAGACGATGGAGAACATTTTACAAGGTCTCGATTTATCTCGATGACATGCTAATAACAGGGAAGACCAATAAGAAAGACATTGTCCTTAAATGTTTCTCCCAAGCCGGTGTATGTCTTAGAAGAGAAAAAGTGTGTTCCAGAACCAAGTGACCTATCTGGGCTGCAGAGTTGACATGACTGGATTACACCCATTGGAAGATAAAGTGAGCGTGATCAAAAGTGCCCTGGCTGCCATGTCTGTACTGGAGCTTAGGTCTTTCCTTGGGCTGGTGAAATATTATAGAAAGTTCATACATAACCTGGCCTCCATCCTGGCACCTTTGCATTAACTCTTAAAAAAAAGGGGGTCAGCCTTGGAAATGGTTGCACAGACAAGGTGCAGTGGACGATATGAAAGCTCCAAAACTCCAAATGGTGCGGGAGCAAAGTGTGTCCGGCTCCTCAATAGCGTTTCCAACTGTTCTGGAACCTGTGAGTTCTCCTTCTCCGTCAAGCGTTGAAGATACCTCCTAACCCGGGCACGGTGGATGTTGCCACCTCACGCATTTGCCACCAAAAGAAGTGAATGGATTTCTTCTGAGTTTGCTCTGGGTGCAAGAGGCAAGCTACTGTGCATTACACACCACCTGTATCAGAGGCAGAGTTTGAGGAACCTGACCTAATGTTCAAATGTCCCAGGAGGAGCTACAAAAAAAAGAGTCCACCTCTATCCTTGGACTCAGAGGGGGACGAATATAGTGATTGTAACGAAGTCAGCCTGGTGGACCTCATAGAATATGAGTTCCCTGATTGGGGCTGTTAATCTGGTCCAATCAGGGAGCCCTGGCTGACAGATAAGAACAGGAGTGTCAGACATTCTGCTCACACTGAGAGCTGGCTCTGAGGGAGCTGTATGAATGTCAAGGACTCTCCATGTGTAAACAAAGGGTGATTTGATGATAGGATACCAGCCTCTGTGGAGTAATTTCATCTGGATTTTATGGATTGCAGCAGTTCAAGAAGGCAGTTTACTACGATGTTCTCAAGGACAATTAGGCAGAAGCAATAAATGCTGGCTCAGCCGCTGAAGCCCACATCCCTCCAAACAATACATAAACATTATAAGTTTGAAGGTAAAAGATTGTTTGGTAATAGTAAGACGCCAAATGCAATGTAGCACATCATCTGACTCATTAGTTTGACAGTATAAACACACAGAACAAAGGTCCTTTATCATTTTGTAAATGTACTGTGGCCACCAAATTAACATACTTTTGATGTTATGATACAGATAATAATTTGAATTGCAATTGAAACATGAAATAATACGTTTTGGTAGGAAGGTCAAGGGGTGGCAGTATAAAACAATGTGTACAATTTTAAAGAGGGGTCAAGGGATTTGGAAATACATGTGCATCATTGACTGAACGTGGCAGGGCAAGTTGAAAAACCAGTTAATACAACATTCAGGATCCTGGATATCGTAAACAGAGGCTTGGGGTAAAATAAAAGGAAGCTATCACTAACTTGTATAAGACATTGGTTTAGCTTCAACTAGAGTATTGCATCCAATTCTGATACCATACATTAAAGGATACGAAGACTTTAAATTGGGAAAAAAGATTTACAAGAATTATTTTGAGGACAAGGGACTACAATTATGTAGAGTTATTAGCATTGTTCTCCTTAAAAGGCAGAGAGATTTTATAGAAGCGTTCAAGATGATGAAGGGTCAAGACAGATGTGAAAAGTGATGATGCCAATTTAAAATGACTGACAATAGGACCAAAGGTGACATGGAAAAACCTTATTCAGTGAGTGGCTAGGATCTGGAATGCACTTCAAAGCGTAGTGGGGTCACATTCAATTATGGTTTTCAAAATGGAATTTGAGAAATTGGATAAATATTTAAAAAGAAAACATTTGCGGTGCTACTCTCAGAAATACAGCAGAAAAGCACAGACATGATGGGCCAAATGGCTTCCTTCAGTGTTGCAACTATTTTATGAGTATTTAAAACTGTCTTACAGAAAATCAAGTTTTATTTAATAATGTGTTATAACTTCCATCTCTACAGATTAGTTTGCTACAATCTGCAACCAACTGATTTTTATATTTTATGTCTGGTTAATGTCCCGGGACTCAGACGATTAATGTTGTTTTGACAGGTATGCAATCAATTAACTATAAATGCAGAGTCATTTATCCTCAAGGACCCATAGCGAACTACATGAGTTTAGTGTGGGCTGATTAATTTTGCTGATTTTTTTCTTTGACTATATTGTTTTGGAACACAAATAAACCATTGATTAAAAATACAAAAACTAGGAAAGAGAAAATACCATCCTTTCAGATAAAAAGCAAACCACTGTAATTATAAACAAACTACCTGACTAAGTTTAAAGTTTCACCTTTAGTTCGCTAAGGTCTAGTTTTCAGGATCTTCTGAAGTGCTAGCTGAGCTCTTGATATTGTCGCAGAACACAAGGTCGAACAACAAGAAACAGTACCTCACAATTTAAGAACGTACGTTTTGTTACCAATCCATGTTGGATTCAGCTCATGCTAAAATCGTAAAAATTTCAGCACTACTTGGCCTCTGTGAATGTCAGCTCAACATTAAAACAGCAGGAAGCTACTTCAATCCTCTCTCTACTACTTGTCCCATACTCTTTAAGTATATACTTCATTAACTCTATATCCAATTCCCTCTTAAAAAGCTCACAACTGATTTGACCTGAAATGTATTCCATATCTTAACAATAATTTCTGATAAAAGCCTGACTTTCCCTTTGTTTCTAGCGTTTACCCTAAAAGTATGACCTCAGTTCAGCTTTATTTGCAGAAAGAACCAGAACTCGTTCAATTCAAATATTACGAGATTAAAAATCCCAACTTCATTTGATGTTAGTCTGCAATATATTGGAAAACGTTAGGAAGATTACGCTGCATTTTTAAAAACCAAGCATACCGATCCTGAACACACCTCAGCAATCGAGATGTTAAAATAGAAGACTGTTCTTAATCTAATTTAGCAAGCTATATGCAGAATGTCAGTCCTTCTGGTTGATTGAAGTTGCACTGAATAAATTTCCCAATTTCTAACTATGAAAAATAATTCACTATTTAAATTAGTCCTAAACAAAATAAAAATCACACATTCTAAATCAAGTGCGCTCAAAGGTGAGCAAACGATTTTAGATACTGTTAACAGCGAATACGTTGTTTTGGAAATGGTTAGTTGTAACATGACTTAAACATGAACATAAGACACCCTGCGTGAATTATGAATGAGTCCTGTAAAACTTCATGTAGCAATCAAGGCTTCAGTATCAGTCTCTGTAGGGTTATGGTTTCTTGCATTGTCGGCGCAAAGGGGATACCTAAAGTTACTGTTCTGCCAAGCGTGACGATGGGACTGACCTGATTACTGAGATACCTCTTCAAACACTCCTCGCAAACAGCCTTCTTGCAACATGGAAGTGGTCGGATGGGTTTGTCATCTAGACAAACGCGACAGGTCAAAATAACAAAATGTTTATACTCTCCAGCATAAGGGTTCCCCTCCGATTGAATGTCGACCTGCCGGGAGATACTGAAAGGTTCCCGAGCGGTAGGTCCTAAACTCGCCGGTGTCAGGGACGGGGCGGTATCACGATCCGTCTGTCCGCCCGGATCAGTCGGTGTGGTTCGGCCCGAGTCAGACGGCTGGTTGCTCTGCTCCCCTGTCTCGGCTTCCAGCGTTGAGTTGTGGTAGTTCTCATTCTCCACATAATACACGGTGCAGTAAACGTGCTGCTGGTGCCAGGGTTGAGTGGCAGGCGTGAGCCGGGTGGAACACTGCCCATTGTCCTGGGAGCCAGCTGTAACATTCTCCATTCCAATCCCATCCGGGCAACGTTCTATCTCCTCTCTGCAACCAGCCGCCTCTTCATCCTCGCTGCACGCAAGCATATCTCCCCCATCTCTTACATTTACATCTTCCATTACCGACTTCAATCCCATAGGCACAGCTCCAAACGAGCCCAGCTACTGCTTCTGCTTCCGGGTCCTACCCTTTTTTTTCCACGATCGCCATTGAAAACATCCACTCACACTTGTGTTATTTTGCGGGGGGAGGGGGGGCAGTAATGGGAGTTGGTGTACAACTTTTTTGGTTTTTTTCCGTTAAAAGGTGATATTCTCAAGAATACCGTCTTTCCTTTCCCGTGATTGCATCTTTCTCCAGCGGGAAGACTCCACTTCAACTCCACGCCGATTTACAAAAAAAAAACTGGGTTTAAACACAAGTGAAAACCCTCGGGAGTTCCCCTTAAGCCACCGTACAGACTATTTCCCAGATTCATACTTTCGCAACAAAGTCAGCCAGGTTCAGTTTAGCTGTGCGGAGTTCGGCGCTTACTGTATTTACCATAATAGACAGGCATCTTCCACATACCGTAATTATCAGGGTAAAGCTGGAAATAAAGTTTACTGGAAGAATGGGGTTGTGCCCATATTCGTTGAACTGATGCAATAACAGGTAGCCACTGAATTGATTATGTCTATTTTGATACATGCCAGTAGTCTCTGGGATCAGTGACTGGTGCTTTCCATTTTTAAAATAGGATATGACCGGTATTTTGCAGGAGTATGGGTGAGGGGTGGGTGCAGAGTGCCTCTGAACAAGGATAACAAACAAGTTCAGAATTGTGAAGCAAGGTTTAAGAATACTTCCAGGACTCCGAAAAGTTTTTAGGTTTTTGCAATGTCTGGAAATGTGATAGGTTCGATTGAGGCTTTCAAGAGAACATTGGATTTTTTTTTGGATAGTAATGGTGTGCAGAAATATATGGAAAAGACTGAAGATTGGCATGAGATAATAGTGCCAGACTAGATAATAGGATGGTACAGACATGATAGGCTGAATTGCCTCCTCTGAATTGCTGTATGATTCTGTGATACTACCCTAATGTCACCATATTTATTGAAGATTACAACATAGTTAAACAGTCAATCTTATGAATGCAGAAATTTTCCTAACAGATTGAAATGTTGATAGTTGATTTTGTATGGCTGAAATGGATATGCAGCACAGAAATCTGCAATTTACAGGCTGGTATGGCACACAGCCCTCTTGAACATAAGTACCACAATCTTCTGGAAGAAAAAAATCCAGTTACAAACCGGTGTACAACCTTTTTTTCCACTAAAAGGTAATATTCTCAAGAATAGTGTCTTTCCCCTTCCCGTGATTGCATCTTTCTCCAGCAGGAAAACCACACTTCAACTCCACGTTGATTTACAAAAACTGGGTTACACCGATAATTGGTGATGTTAGTGTCACAGGATTGATGAAACATCCTTGTTTGAAGTTGTGGTTGCAAGATATGAGACAGAAGGATTTTTAATTCAAGTTAGTTGACAAAATCCAAAAGAAAACCCCTAGATCAGACTGGGGGAAAGAAGGGGGAGACAGGGTCATGTATCACTGAATGGCCTGTTTGTAAGATCCTTTCATTGTACTTCACAGAGTCAAGCTCAGTAAGATCAAATTTGTTCAAGTATTGGTGAATGGAATCAAGGGACGGGGTGTCAAAACAGAAAGTGGAACATAAAGTCTTTAAAGTAGTTGCGCATCTATTGCATTTTGCGAGCAGTTACATTTCTAGAATTGATAACACAATTAACAAAAGCCAATTGTTTCATTAAGCAGCAGGACAAACAGTACTTTACTCCCACAACCTTTCAGGATCAATTTCAGTGAGTATATTTTATAAAGTGTCAAACTGAAATTTATAACAAGGAAGGGAAGTTCTGTTTCTGAGCAATTGTTTCTGATGTTATTTAGTTGTTTTTTATTCATCATTATTATTTCTTGTATTACATTATGGATTTTTTGCAACTGGGAAATTAAAAAGTAGTTGTTGAATAACAGATGATCTAAAGATTCACCCCTTTCCTCCAACCATAATACACTCTACGTATACAGGGTGATGAAAGGTAAAGGTAAAGTCACCAATAGCACTACTGGATAATAGAGCCTTTCTCTCATTAGAGTGAGAGAGACAGAAAGACAACCAGTGGTGGTTTAACCTGATGGCCATCTCTTATGCAAGGGCAGAGGTTGAAAAGGAGAATCCTTCACAGTAACCTCAACCAAGAGCAGGAATTAAACCCACTTAGTTGACACAACTCTGCATTGCAAACCAGCCATGTAGCTAACTGAGTCAAGCAATCCCAGAGGGGAATGGAAAAAAAACTCAGTGAACCCAGTGCTTAATGTGTGTGCTTGGAAATGTTTGTCTTCCTGCATTCATGACCTCAGACACATACGTGGCGCAAAAAAAAATCAAATTATGTTATGGTCAGGTGAGGAGAAGTGAACCAACCTTTTTTTTCAGCCTACTCATTTGGCACAAAAAGATTTTATGCTTTTTAGCACACAGCCAAACCTCAGTTCAGTGTAAATGTAGTTACTATTTTACCAGAAGCAATAAGGAGCCAATTACAAGATTTTCATGCATGAAAGGAACAACAATTGAATAACTTGTTAACCTCAAGAAAAAATAATAAAAATGCAGCAAACATACATAAAAATGTGGTTATAAAGTTACAAAGGAGATAGTGTTCAGTACAAAAAGGAAGAGTGAAAAATATCAGTTAGAGAAGTCATTTCTTGAGGGGTAAGGTTTTAACTTAAGATCACCCATGCATTTTGTGGATATATTTGCATCTTTGGTACTTAGATGTTTCTCCAATTTGTCCTTCTTGACAGAATAGGGAGAGAGTCTTTTACAGTTCCAGTCACAGATATATCTTCCTTCATCTGGCAGAACTATTTCCCTGAAATACAACTGGTTTGTGTATTCCAATAAATGAGTTCTTTGTTTTCAAGGTGGATAATTATCGGGAATGTCTTTCATCTCCAAAATGTGAAATGTAACATAAAAACCAGTAAGCCAAAGATGGAAAGATCACACCTGAAGTAACACATATTTCAAGTGAGTGTATAATTTGAGGGAATTCAGAGGCAGCATGGGAATAGAACTGGGAAAACTTTCTTTTCATTCTCCATTACAAAAATATAAAATTCAGTAACCTAGTTAAAAGCTAAATAAGACAGCTGACTCAGTTCTGATCCAGAGGGACAGTTACCACCTGAAGTCTGAATAAGGTCTCAAATGGGTGTTAAAATTACTGTTGAAGCTTAAGTCATGTGAGTCACCTCAGCCCCCTGAGCTCTATTTAAGAGAGGGCTTGTTGAAAGCACATGACTAGTATGCTGCACCCGGTCAGGAAGGAGAGATCACAGTGGGAGTGAGTATGTAATTCTAAGAATTTAGAGGCTGTGGGAGATTTCAGTGTAGAGGGGAATTGGTGCATTTTGTTTGCTTTCTTGGTTCATAGTTTGTATAATACTTCACAGGATAAATTGAAACCCAGAATTGGGTGTGCAGCGCACAACATCACAGGAAAACTGTAAGTTCATAGGTTGGGAATAGTTACTAGTTTGACAATTATTATACGTTACTTTCACAGATCTACATAGATTTGTAGGTGAAGAGGGGACAGACCAATTTTAAACATCAAATTAAGAACTAAGTAAATGAAATAGAGACTTGGAGACAGTTAGGTCTGCAGATGCTGGAAGCTAGAGACAATAAATGTAGAGCTGGATAAACACAGCCAGTCAGACAGCATCTGAAGAGCCAGAAAGTCAACATTTCTCTCAATCATCAGTGAAGTGATGGAAGGTGCCATCAACAGTGCTATTGAGCAGCACCTGCTCAGTGATGCCCAGTTTGGGTTTGGCCTGGGCCACTCAGCTCCTGACTTCATTACAGCCTTGGTTCAAACATGTAGAAAGAGCTGAATTCCAGAGGTGAGGTGAGGTGAGAGTGACAGCCCTTGGCATTAAGACTGTATTTGATGGAGTGTGGCACCAAAGAGCCCTAGCAAAACTGGAATCGATGGGTATTGGGGGCAAACTCTCTGGTGGTTGAAGTCATACCTGACACATAGGAAGATGGTCATGGTTGAAGGTCAATCATCTCCACTCCAGGACATCTCTGCAGGAGTTCTTCAGGGTAGTGTCCTCAGCCCAACCTTCAGCTGCTTCATCAATGACCTTCCCTCCGTCATAAAGGTCAGAAGTGGGGATGTTCGCCCATGATTGCACAATGTTCAGCACCATTCGTGACTCATCAGATACCGAAACAGTCCATGCTCACATGCAACGAGATTCCTGACAAATGGCAAGTGACATTCGTGCCACACAATTGCCAGGTTATGACCATCACCAATAAGAGACAATCTAACTGCTGCCTCTTGACATTCAATGGTGTTACCATCACTGAATCAACACCCTGAGAGTTATCATTGACCAGAAACACAACTGGACTCACCACATTAACACAGTGGCTAAAAGAGCAGGCTAGAAAGTAGGAATACTGTGGTGAATAACCCCCCTCCTGACTCCTCAACGCCACCATCTACAAGACACAAGTCAGGAGTGTGACGGAATACTCCTCACCTACCTGAATGAGTACAGCCCCAACAACACAAGAAGCTTGACACCATCCTGGACAAAGCAGCCCACTTGATTGGCATTACATCCACAAGCATCAACTCCCTCCACCACCAGTGCTCAGTTGCAGCAGGGCGTACCAGCTACAAGATGCACTGCAGAAATTCACCAAGGATCTTCAGACAGCACCTTTCAAACCCCCGACGACTTCCACCTCGAAGTACAAGGGCAGCAGACATATGGGAACACCACCACCCCCAAGTTCCCCTCCAAGGCACTTACCATCCTAACTTGGAAATATATTGCCATTCCTTCACTGTTGCTGAGTCAAAATCCTGGAATTCCCTCTCTAATGGCAAGAAAGCAGCTCACCACCACCTTCTCAGGGCAACTAGAGATGGGCAAGAAATGCTGGCTGGCCAGCCAGCGACGCCCACATCCCACAAATGAACAGGGATAGAGAATTTCAGGACTGGGGAGGGGGAGGGGAGCCCAGGAATAAATAGAGGGAGAGGGTTGGGCTGGGGGAGGGTAGGTGAGATGGCTATAGGTGGATGCAGGTAGGGGTAATTGTGGTTGGTCGGTGCAATGGGTGGAGCGGATAGGTGAATCAAAAGATGAAAAGGTGGGGATGGAGACATTTTGAAGCTGATGAAGTCAATATTCAGGCCACTGGGCTGTAAAGTCCTCAGGTAAAATGTGAGGTGTTGTTCCTCCAGTTTACATCAGGCCTCAGTGACAGTGGAAGAAGTCAGAGATGGACATGTCACCAGAGGAGTTAAAGTAGATGGCAATTGGAAGGTTGGGTTGGTTGGTGCCTGCAGACTGTAGATTCTCCGCAAACCAAACCCCGAGTCTGGGTTTGGTCTCCCTGATTATAGA